CAACCCTTTTAATCTTTCACAACAGTATGAGGTAGGTTCCATTATGATCTCCATCTTAGAGATGAGAAAACTCTTAACCCTTTTGCTATTCTGCTTTTCATTTAAACTTCACAGCAATTCCACAAATTACATGTACTTTCAGTTTTACAGATGAGGAAGTAGATTCCAAAATTTAAGCACTTCACCCAAAGACACCTAGTTAGTAAATAACTGAGTTGGAATACTTGACCAAGGTTGTCTGAGTTTAATAGCCTGTGTGTTAAGTCTTTACCATCCTATAGTAGAAAAAAAAAAATCTAGTGGCAAATATAAAAAGTTGCCTTAGCCTGGCAGTCTTTGGAAGATTTACCTTTGGGGGTGGAGGTAGGGTGATAAATTTTCAAAACTGGCACAGACCTCCTGGAACCCTTGCTGGACCAGAGAATTCTGGAAAATGGCTTCATTCCTGTCTTTAGCAGATCCGACAGGGCCAGGGGAAAGTCTGAAATAGAACTGCTTGCCCTTAACCCTCCCTGGGCTCAAGGGAGTTGTTTGTCTAGCTTTGAATAACCCATTCTGTGAAGAATATTCTGGGAATTTCCTTATGTGGCAGGGCATTTGACTGGATGATCTCACTGTGCCAAATGAAATCTCTTTCCCATCCTACCATCAGAGATAAGAATTGGCACTATTCAGCCTTGAGGATGAATATTAAAAAGAAAAGGTATAAAGATTTTTAAAGGCATGAAATATTATATTAGGAAGGTGGGAACTAGTTCATCTGCATGTCTACTGTGGCCTGACAAGAAGGAGAGATTCTGAATATAGCTATAGGGATTTAGATTAGCTAAAAGAAGAACTTCCTGATACCTTGAAGAGATGCTAGAGTAGATTATATCAGGTTTGAGGAAAGAAGCTGTGAATCTATTTAAAAAGGTGCTGTCTAATAGAAATGTAATGGAGCCATATATGTAACTTAAAATTTTTTATGTACCATATTAAAAAAGTAAAAACACAGGTTATTTTTTTTATATTTTATTTAACCCAAAAGATCCAAAATATCAACAAAATAATGTAATCAGTTTAAAAATGAGATATTTCACATTGTTTTTTGTATTGTTTTCAAAATCCAGTGTATCTTACAGCACATCTCAATTCAGACAAACCACATGTCAAGTGCTTGATAACTGTATGTGGCTAGTGGCTACCATGTTGGTTAGCACCAGTTTAGAATTGCTAATGACTGTTAGACACCCAGTGGCAAATACAAGGTGTAGTCTGGTTTTATCTAAAGGCAGAAAGTTCTCTAGAAAACCTGAGGGCCTATGAAAGTGAAGGTCAAGGAAAACTTACCTTTTGGAGCCCTCTCAGCCTTTCTCATTGCAAAAAATATAAAGACCCATTGCCCCCGGCAATTCTTAGAACCCACTCAGCAGTGTTCTGTGTTCTCTTTCAGTAGGGAGAACCCTGACTCCCTCAAGTCTGTCAGATTTAGTGTTTTAGGGGGTGTTAACCCAGGTGGGAAGAGCACTGTGCTCAGGAGAACGCGGAAAAGCATTCCATCCTGGGGTAGACAGGTAGCTCCATTCTCTCCACCGCAGGAGACAATGCTCCTTATCCCAGTCTGTCTTGCATGGTGAATGACTGGTCATGACAGGCAGCAGGAGCCAGGTCGGACAGAGGGGATGGAGAGGATCAAATCTACCCTCTGTCTGGAGTGCAGTATAAGACATAAGCATTATCCTGGCCTAGGCTATCTTACCTGCACTATTTTGAGTTCTCTATCTGCGACACACTTCTCCAGGTACCTGCACGGCCCTGTCCCTCACCTTGTTCTCATCCCTGTATGATGCCATCATTTGCTCTCTAAGAGCCACCCACCCAGCCCCATTACTCCCTTTCCTTTCACCCAGTTTTATTTTTCTTCAGTATTTACCACTGCCTGACATTATAAATTTAGTTGTTCATCGTTTGCTTTCCCCATTAGGACGTGAACTGCATGAAGGCAGAGACTTCATCTGGTTCACCACTGTACACTCAGGGTCTAGCTCCAAGTCTGATGCATAGTAGGTCCTCAATAAATATTTTTTGACGGAATTCATTCTAAAGGGAAAACTCGTTATAATTCAGAAGAGAACCAATGCAGTGAGGGAGTCATATTGTACTTCCATTTTTTCTCATAAAATTTCTGAATTTGGATCTATTCACTTCAACATCTACATGAATCACAAGATGAAATAAGTGTGAGAAATTACAGATACTTTCCAAGTGTCTTAGAAAGGAAAACTTCTGCTTCCTCTGTTCTTTACAATCCAGAATGGTTTAATCTTCTTTAATAGTGTTCCTAGAAGTTTTCTCCCTCTAATCATTAGAGCTCAATGTAGTTATTCCTTGTGAATGAATTCGTTTGGTGAATTCTATAACCATTCAGTTAAAAAATAATGAGGGGCAGGAATCGAGGTGAATTATGGGTAAAGACAGACAACCCAGCTAAGGTTACGAACTGGCCTCAGAACATTCCCTGGCATTCTCCACTATCCTATCAAAGGGGTTTCTTTAGCCCCTGAGATACAAGAGCTCAGAACTTTGTATTACCAGAACATTCCCATTTGCACTACAACTTGGATAAAGAACAAATTTACAAAGGAAGAAACCAAGGAACACAAAAAGGCAAAGGAGAGTCTCCTTACCCCCGAGTCTCACCCCAAGACGGTGAGATAGATAGTAAGATGGTATGAGTTTACACCAAGAACACAGGGGCCAACTCAGCTCCTTTTCCACAGCTACATTCCAGAGAATGACATTTCCTGAGCACGAGTGCTTCTTAGGGCCAGGCAACAAAGGCCTTATCAAACAGATTGGAGAAGAGGAGCTGATGTCCCAAACCTCACCCCATTGAAAATCTAAACTCTTCCCTGGGGTGCAATCTACAGACCTACGGGCACCTGAGTCCTGAGACATCCCATCCAAGTTGTCAGGCTGACCCAAGGCAACTCTGCTAAGTGCCCTAGAGTCATCTTACTTTTGTTCACTGATAGCATTACTCCTCCAAAAAATGAATGAATAAAGGACTCTTGAAGATGTCGAAGAATTTTCAAACCTGAGGGATAAATTGCTGAGAATAAAGTTGAAGAAGATATCTTTCAGCATTGGGGCCCACCCAGCATTATAGTATGTGGGTTACTCACTGATCATCCAGTTAATCCTCTGGAAACAACCCCAGCATGTCAGTAGATCTTCTTCTACCTTTATCCTAGGCAAATGTGTGGTGGTGACAGGGGTTAAGGCATGGAAGAGAGGTAGAATATTCCACTAAAACCGTGTCTGATAGAAGCCAGGATCTGGTGGGTCAGAGCTTGATAATGGAATCATAGTAAAGCTTGGTTTTCATTTTATGTTATCATCTTCATCGGTATTCTCCTTTTGGCATAGTGGAAACTGAGCAGGACTTGGGAGGTAGAACACGAGGGTTTGATTCCTGGCTCTGCCACCCAATAACTGAATCTTGGGTAAGTTTTCTAAGTCTTTTTTTTTTTTTAAGGTTATTTTTATCTTTATTTATTTTTTTAAATATTTCAGAACCTGAGTTCTTTTTTTTTAAGTTTATTGGGGTAACATTGGTTAATACAATTATATAATTTTCAGGTATACATTATAATTTGACATCTATATAGTCAATTGCGGGATTACCACCCAGAGTCCAGTTTCCTTCCTTCAGCTACCATATATTTGATCCCCTTTACCCACTTCACCCTCCCCCAACCCCCTTATATTTGACCGCCTTTACCCTGTCTACCTCTTCCCTCCTCCCCCACCCCCTGCCCTCTGGTAACCACTAGTCCATTGTCTAAGTCTTAATGTATTAGTTTCCTGGGGCTGCTATAACAAAGTACCACAAACTGGGGCGCTTTCAGAAGATAAATATATTGTCTCACAGTTATAGAGACTAGAAGTCCAAGATCAAGGTTGGTTCCTTTTGAAGGCTGTAAGGAAGGTTCTATTTCATGCCACTTTCCTAGCTTCCAGTGGTTTGCTGGCAATCCTTGGCATTCCTTGGCTTCTAGATGTATCACCCATTTTCAGCTTTCATGCTCACATGATATTCTTCCTCTGTGTCCCAATTTCCCCTTGTAATAAGGACATAGTAATATTGGATTAGGGCCTACCTTACTGATCTCATCTTAACTTGATTATCTCTCCAAATGCCCTATCTCTAAACAAGATCACTTTCTGAAGTACTGGGGGTCAGAACTTTAACATATGAATTGGGTGGGACACAAATCAACCCATAACACTTAGCTAGTTCCTTCATCTGTAAATGGGGATCATAATACAATCCTTCCTCATACCATTGTAGTGGTTGGGAAAGTCCTTCAAAGAGGCTTGTCTGTGGAAGGCCAGTGGATATTTGGTTTGTCTGAATGTGCATGTGCCTTGGTGCTCTCTGGACCAGACTGTGTCCCTAGGGAGCAGATGTCGGGTGGGTAGTCATCCTATGAGTGCCCAACACATGTTAGCAGGTGCTTGACCAATGCATTTTGATGATGGTGAAGATAAAAAGCCAGAGAGAAGACTCTGAAGACAGTTGAGCCAAGGCTACAAGAAGTCTGATACAAGTGTTGGTGAGGACTTGGAGCCCGAGACCCCGCTCCCACACTGGTAGAAATACTTTGGAAGGCAATTTGGCATTACACACAAATGGGGAAGCAACTCCACTTCTAGGTATATACTCCAGAGAAATGTTTATACATGTCCCCAGGAGATTTGTACAGAAAAGTTCATAGCAGCATTGGTTATAAGAAAAAAATAAAAACCTAAATTTCCTAAATGTGATGTATTCATATAGAAAAATGCTATGAATACTAGATAGGAGTTAAAGTGAGTTAACCAGGGCTGTGCATACCTCATGGATGAACCTCACTAATAAAATATTGAGCAAAAAAAAGCAAGTTGCAGAAGAATATATACAATGGATCAGGCAAAACTAAATGCTATATTGCTCAGGATACATACACATATATATGCATAAAGAGTATAAAGAGAAGTATGAGAATGACAAACACCAAATTCAGGAGGATGTCATGTGGGGAGAAGGGGAGGTATCATGGATCTTCAGCTATATTTGTAAGTTTGTTTTTTAAAGGAGGTCACAAGTAAAGGGTATTGGTTATTCTTTATAACTTTCTGCATGTTTGAGTTATGACATTTTTTAAAGAACCAGGACTGGATGAGCCTTACATAAAGGAGAGAGAGAAGCTGGATTCTACCGTGGGGAGATTCAGAGCTTCTCTTGCCAACCCCTGAACTCAGAATCCAGAGTAAATAAGCTAAAGACCCATCTGACATCTGCCACACTGAAAAGCTGAGACTCAGAAAGGTGAAATCTCCTCTGCTGAGGAGGGCAAGAACGAAGGACACTTTGATGCTTCCCCTCTTGTTCTGAACCTAGTTACTGGCTTGCAAAGTAACCCCCAGGCTGTGAGAACCCCAGGTGGAGGAGACGGGGGAGGGGGGACTTCAGAGGAGACCAGCACCCACGCACATAAATACACATGCCTGCATGCCCCACGCATACCAAGCATGCAAGCTGCTACCCCCACACCAACACACACTGTTTTTCAAACAACCTAGCGTGGGCACTCTGACAGTTTACAGCATTCCTACACCTCTTCGTGTACACACACACACACACACACACACACACACACACACACACACACACACACAAACCCTTCCACTGCCCACTCCAGCTGAGACCCTAGAATTAGAGATGCTTCAGAGCCTGCCAGCTGCAGGCCCCGCCAACCCGCCCTCTCTTCCAGTGTTGGGTTTTTCCAGCAGAGCCTCACTCCCTCTACTGCAATCTCTGGAAACTGGTGTCTGACGCGGCTGCTCCTGCACATTATTTATTTATTTCCTCCTTTCCTCCCGCCGGGACCCTTCTGTCAGGAGAGCTGCAGCTTGGGACGGAGACAGGCGGGAGAGGATGGAGGAGAGGATCCCTCAGAAGCCCCTACCCTGCTCAGCAAGCTCATCAAACCCTGCAGGGGCCATGAGCACCAGGCAGGAAGCCAGGAGTGAGGGGGGAGACTCCAAAAAGGGGGGACAGGAGGCAGAGCTTCGGGACCGAGCTCACCTGAGCCAGCGGCGCCGACTCAAACAGGCCACCCAGTTCTTGCACAAGGACTCCGCTGACCTGCTGCCCCTGGACAGCCTCAAGAGGCTTGGCACCTCCAAGGACTTGGTGAGGCAGCCCTCTCCCCTCCCTACCCCCATGGAAGTCCTCTGGCCCTTTCTCTCCACCTCCCTACCCTGTACCCTGAGCATAGGGGTGAGGACAGACCCTAAGCCTTCAGATTTCCCATCCTCACTAAGAGCAGGGGAGAGGCAGTCCCACAAACTCGAGGGGCTCCCTTTGACCGTTCACAGCTCTTAACTGGAGATGTTCCCATGGCTTGGTGGCTCTGAGGGGACTCAGACCCTATTCTCATTGCTCAGCTTCCCCCCAAATAATCTAGGGCTTATCTTGAGGTGAGCTCTGCTGTTCAGAGGTAGAAGCTTTCAGGGACACAAGAGGCTTTGAGCAGTCATTTTTGGAGGGCTTGAAGGATTGACCAGGTTAGGGTTGCGATTTCCCTCCTGTCCCTAAACCAGAGTCCCTCATACTAGTTCAGGTCATTCATTTGCCTTTTCCTCTCAGAATGGTTTTCCTATGGCTCCTGCCAGGCCACTTGGCCCCCTGAAGTGTCCTCTTCTTCCCCTCAGCCTTCCTTGGGGCTCCTATCCTTCCATTCCCCTACAGCAGCTTTGGCCTCCAGAGGGAATGGGGTGGGGGAGTAACAATGAGGTGAGTGGGTCAGGGGACCACTGCACATATGCATTCCCCTGGGAGAGAGCAGTTAGGAGCATGGGCTTTGAAGCTATGTTACTGTGTTCAGACCCTGTGCTGTCGCTTACTAACTTGGGCACGTTACTTTATGTCTCTGTGCCTTCATCTCTTAAATGAGGATAAAATTAATATCTACCTCATAGGGTTGTTGTGAGTTACATGAGCTAATATCCATAAAGGACTCAGAACAGTGCCTGGGTGATAAAAAGCACTATATAAATGTTATTATTATTCCTTCAGCTACTGTATCATTTAGCTTAGAAAGTAAGCTCTGTAGGGTCCAGAGCGCATGGAATCATATCTGGCCTCTTGCTACAAAAGGAAAGCTTTTGTAGAAAGGTTTTTGAGCACTGTTCCCTCTCCTATCTCCTAACCAGAGGGTCAGAGAGGAGGGTACTCCTGCAACCTAAGAGGTATGAAGCCATTTCCAGGGGTCACAGGCAGCCTCTGCTCCCTGGGAACCTAGAGGCAAATGCAGCCCCTCACTGGTTTCCTGCCCTATCACATTTCCATATTCCTCCCAGTCGAATGTCCCCGCTCCAGGAAACCTGCCCGGGGTCAGGCAGCTCCCAAAGAGAAAAAAAAGCAATCAGACTGAGGTTTCCATTCAGAGAACCTTCAGAGGCTGCTCCTTCTCCCAGAAGCCACAACCATGAAATGATGGGACAGGAAAGCAGGTTCTCTGGTTCCAATGGCCTTTGAGGACCATCTTACATGGATTTGGCCCTAGAGAAAGGCCATCCCCGTGAGAAAGGTGGAAGGAGCACTGGGAACTACAGAGCCGCTCTCTGGCCAGTCCCAGAGCACGCTGCCCTTTTCCCAGAGCTGGATCTCCTGCTGGCAGCCTTGCTGGCGGGAGCAGCCTCAAGGGTCTCATTAGGCCAAGGATGGAAAAACAATCCCAGGCTCCCAAGCAGAGAGGGCAGGTAAAGCATGTGTGGAGCCTGGAAGGATATGGTGTTCTTCGGCTAGCATTTACTGAGTGCCTATTATATGTTGAGCTAAGCCCTGGGATATAAAGCTGAATGAGATGGAGACCTGATCCCAAGGTCTCTCCAGGCTAACCGAGGAGTGAATAACATCTGTGAGAAGCATGACAAAGGGAACTAGCCCAGCCTCCTGTGAGTAGGGCAAGGTACAAAGACGTCAGAGAGGGCTTCCTGGAGGAGGCAAACCTGCACTAATTACCAGATGCACATGGAATCTCAGACTTAACATAAAAAGCTCTCTACCAAACAAAGAACAGTTAGTTCTTGAGCAACTATTCAAGTGTGTTCAGCCAGTCATCCAGTCTGGACTAAAGAAAAGTAAGAAAGAAGAGCCTCAGGAAGAGGGGAGAGCAGGAACAAAGCCATGGAGGCAGAAAAACAGCCCGGTACAAGCGGTACAAGCAGGGTGGCTGGGGTAGATGTACAGAGTGGTGTGGAGGAGGGGTAGGTGAGAGGAGGAAGACAACGCAGATTCAAGCAGTGACCAGGTCATCTGGGCTGTGGATCTCCTTAAAATGTTTGAGTTCTACCATTTAAGCATTGGCAGTGGGAGGTGGTGATGGTAGGGGGATGCTTTGATGGATTTTAAACAGGGGAGTTAACATGGTTAGTTCTGTTTTACTTTGGTGCTTCTCAAACTTTAATGTAATGTACCCAAGAATCATCTGGATATCTTGTTAAAATGAAGTTTCTGATTCAGTAAGTCCCAATTCTGCCTTTCTAACAGGCTTCCAAGTGATGTTAAAGCTGCTGATCTGAAGACCACACTTAGCAAGGGTTTTACATAATCGTTGGCTTCGAGCAGGTGTACTTGAGAGGCGACAGTATTGGAGGCAGGTTCTTGGAATGTAAGGAGGTGTCCAGGGGATCCAGGAGAGCTGTGGTGAGGCTGGAATCAAGACAGTAACAGAAAGCAAGGATGGCAGAGTTTAGGAAGTGACTGAACAGGGCCAGGGCGGGGGGTGTTGTGGGTGAAGGAGAGCGCAAAGATGACTCTCAGCATCCTCGTTTTGAAGATTTTAACTTTTTCTTTTTTTGTTTGATTTTGTTATTTTCATTGTGCCATCAACCCTGGGACCTGTAACTCATGGAAAGATGAGGTCAGAGGAGGAAAAAAAAAGAAAAAGAAAAAAAACAAGCGTAGACTTGAGACAGAATTTCTCCCAAGCATACTAGTTCTTGAAACCTCCCATCAGCCAATATTGATCAGTTTAACCTAGAATGGACCATTCTCCTCTTCTCATTTCTTTAACACTGAGCAATCTAGTGGGGCCCCAGAAAAATGGCATGATTTTACACTGGGGTTCACTCTGCTATAATGATCTGACTGCTGGGATCCTTGGGTAAGCTACTGTCCCTTTATACTCCTATGTGACTCAGGACTGGCAGACAACGTCCTGGGATATTTAAGATTCTTGAAATGTGGGGGAACTGAGCAGCCTGGATACTTGGGTTTAGACCTGTCTACCTTCATTGTTCTGTGATGGAGTCAGCAGCCGCACAGTGTGCTCCAAAGACGCCTGGTGGAGGGGAATCAGAGTCGGCTTCAGGGGGAGTCCCCCCTGGTACAGGCCCTGGTTCATGGCCAAGAGAACAGGAAGAAGACCAGTGAAACAGAGATCCCAGCTCTTTTGGTCAACTGCAAGGTGAGAGACCTCCCAAGGCATTGGCTTTCTTTCATTTATAATCCTGCCTGTGACTGGCTCACTTCATCCACTCTTTTTGCTCTGAGTGCGGGAAGAAGGGAGGGAGAAAAGGTACCTCTCCACCAAGCCTGGACCTAAAAACGGGATCCTCTAGCTTCTTTACTCTCTACCTCAAACCATATTTCCTCTGTGCAGTTCCATTGGTCACCACCATGACTCCCTTTCCTTTATCAAAGTATAACCTTTAAATGTGAATATGTAAATGCTCTTCAGTGTGCTCTACATATATGGATGGTGTATGCGTGTGTGGAATAATGCAACCCTCCTGGGAAAAGCTCACGTGATGGCCTCGTCACCTCTGGAGCCATTTAACCACCCAATGAATACTGAACCTTCCTAATTAATGCCCACTGCTCTTATGCTATTGTCTTTGTTCAGCATTTCCTTGGCCTGCTTTGCAGTCATTCTATGTCCACATTCCACAATCTTTTAAGCCTCAAATGTTACTTCCTCCTTAAAACCTTTTCTGAATTCCCTAGTAGAAAACAGCCTTTCCTCTCTCTCAATGTCTAGGACAACTCATTCACAATCCTTCCTTCTATATACCAGAACCTTTCACTTCCTCTAGAATCCTAAAGAACGGCATTTATTGCTGTGCTTTCCAGCAACATATCTATGCGTAGTAGATGCTCAATAGATGTTTGAAATGAAAATTGTTTGTGATTCCAAGTGTACCCTAAAATGTCTGTATCTTCCTGTTTCCCGTGGTGAACCCCTCGCTTACCCACATCTGAATTTCCTAATGAGGTATCCGATCATCTCGTCCCTCCTCTACTCCTAACTAGGTTTCTCTAACCAAGGGGCCCTCAGCCTCCCAAGTGCTCCTCTAAGAACAGATCTCCATTTCTGGTCAAATCATTCCCAAATATATGGACTCACTACCACATGCAGCTCACTTCTTTTTTTGATTCCTTTATCTGAGCCAGTGTAAAGTCCCACAAAAAAACCACCTTTAAAGACTTAGCTCATTCTCTTAACTTGTTTCTGAAGGGGAATCATCCAAGGGCTGGAAAGGTGAAAGATCCAACCCCAGTCCATTCTCCTGGGACTCACTGAATCCCTATAACCCTCTTTCTCAGTGCCGAGACCAGGTGCTTAGGGTGGCCGTGGACACAGGCACCCACCACAACCAGATCTCCGCCGGATGCCTCAGCCGCCTGGGGTGAGTGTGGCCCAAAAGAGTGGATGGGGGATGAGGCTTCTTTTGGGAGTGATGAAAATATTCTGAAATTAGATAGTGACTGACAGTTGCTTACCTCTGTGAATATACTAAAAACTACTGAAGTATATACTTTAAAAGAGTGATTTTTATGGTATGTGAGTTATATCTCGATAAAGCTGTTATTTAACAAAAAGAGCTGATGGGGGCTCTGGCAGAGAAGACAAGGATTTAGACCCCATGTGGGGCCAAGGATTGGGTAAGAACCCAAAGAGTGGTGGGGAGGGACATTAGCTGACTAAAGGGATGAGGGTGGGGGCCGTGGTAGCCACAACCCTTGCTTCCCAACCACAGGTTAGGGAAGAGGGTCCTAAAAGCCCCAGGGGGGGACCTGGCACCTGGGCCCCCAACCCAGGTGGAGCAGCTGGAGCTACAGCTAGGCCAGGAGACCGTGGCATGCTCGGCCCAGGTGGTGGGTAAGTCCTCCCTTTGTCAACAGTCCAGCTTCTCACCTCTTCTACCTTTCTCTCCTGGGTGGGGCAAAGGCAGACCTTCAGACCTGCTGGCACCAGACAGTGTCCTCAAAGATTGTCTGACTATCCCCAATCTCTGTGCCAAGATTCTGACCTTGGGGGTGGGGCAGGCAGAGAAGGGGCACATGCTGACATGAGGGCTGCAGTGACCACTAGGTACTTTCTAGCCTCTTCTGTTTTCAAATGATTCCTGCAGATGTTGAGAGTCCTGAATTCTGTCTTGGACTACAGACTCTGCTTTCCCTCAAGGTAAGGAGGATGCTAGCACTTGCACTCACACTTAGGGCCCAACCAAAGGGCTGGGAAAGAGGAGCAGGAGGCACAGGTGTGGAAGCATGGGTCAGGTTCCAGTGAGGAAGACATGGAGATGTGCAATTGCACCGTGGCTTTCTTAGAGGGTCCTGAGTTGCCCACAAGTGAAAAATATGAAGAACTGGGTCTCTCTCTGACAAGGGTCCAAGGGAATGGAAACAGGGGTAAGCAAGCAGGGGAAAGCTATGGGAAGTGGGAGGCGGGACAAAAAAGAAGGGACTGGGGGAGAGGTCACCTGCTGAAGTAAGCTCACACTGCCCCCTCCACTTCCCACAGTGCTGTATCGACCTGGAACATGGAGTGCTGCGGCTGAAAGCCCCCTTCCCAGAGCTGCCATTTCTGCCTTTGCACCAAGAACCTGGCCAGTGACCACTATTCCAGTTAGTCCCCAGGGGGAAGTACCTTGTCTTAGGAGAAGAGCCGTGTGGGGTATGGGGACATTACTATAGCCAGGTAGCTGGGGACTACTTTGTCCCTTTTGTCACCACCCTGACCCTGCTGTCCCATTTCCCTTAGCTGGCGACATTCCTCTCTGCTTCTCAGCAACTTCCCTATCCCCCAGGAGTTTTCTCTAGAGAGGGACCAGGATCTCAGGATTCTGGTTTCCCTGTTCTCTCTTATTCCTCTCCCAAGAAGAATAAAGCCAAATCAGGCCTGCAGAAAAGGACACAAGCAAAATGGGGGTCCAGGCTGGGCCCCTGGAATGGTAGGAACTGGCCTGAGTCAAAGGCTGCAGCCTGACACTGTCCTCCACTGTCCCCCAACTCCACCCCAAACACCTCTTGACTGCTTTTACTCCCACATCTCTCACCTCACCTCCTGAGGCTCATTATCTCTCACAACTAGACACCACACCTCACCAACCTGGGTCCCTGGCCCTGCTGGCGCCTACCTTTCTGACTCTGCACACATCTGTGCACAGTTGAGTGGGGAAGAAATAATGAACAGAATAATTCGGTACAATACGAAGATTGTTCAGTAGCTCTAAGGCTGGGAGCTCTAAGTTACCTTTTCTGGGCTTGCAAACCTCTGAAGTCAGTTATTACCCTGTGCAGAACCTTGGATATATCTTTAATATTTCCTCCAGATCTTTATCCTGCTCCACTTTTACCCACTGGGCCCCTGAACTTCAGGGTGTGTGTGGAAAAGTCTTGCGAGAAGTGCCAGCAAAGATGGACAGGATGGTGTGGTTGATGGTACTCGGACTTTGCCTAACTATGATTCATTATTTCTAGAACTATCCACCTCATTAGACCTTCTTCCTAACCCTCATCTCTGGCTTTGAGAGCTGGAGTTTGTCTTGTTTTGGAATAAGTGGCTTTCTATCCCCTGCCTGAGCCAAAGCAAAGAGACAATGAGGCTTTCTGACTTTACTGTAAAGAAAGGAAGCCAAATCTTAATTACCTAGACCCCCGAGTGTCTTTCTGACTGGTCTGAGCATCTCATACCATGGATTAGGGGTAGAGGAAGAAGACAGCATAACTAACTTGAACCAGGGAAACAAAATCTTGGGTTGGAAAAAAAATCTTGAGCCTGAGATAGATTAGAGAAGAACCAAGATGCAAGGAGCTGCCCCATGACACCTGGCCTTACCTTTCTCAACTGAGTCCTCACAAGGAGATGGGAGGGGCTCACTATTACACTTGTGATAGTACCCTGGTCCTCACTGCCTTGCTCCATGACCTCAGCTTTCCTGGTCTCACCCTGTTCCTTTCCCTTCTGCCTCCTGCTGCTTCTGTGATTGCAGACTCCAGGCTCTATGGCAGGCTCTTAGCTCAGCTGCTTCTCCATTTGAATAAACAATGGTTTCTCTATGTTAATGTCCTTCTTTGGTCTTCCTCCATGCCTATCAGAGGCTGAATGAAAACTCTGCCCTTATTCCCTTACAGAAAGGAAATTTAAATGTTGACTCTTCCCCTGTCTGGCTAGAGTCAGTATAATTGAGAGCAATGGCTTTCAAACTCCTTTGAACATAATTCACAGCAGGAAATATGTTTTATATTGTACTTGGGATACACATATGCACATATACATACAATTATAACAAAACACTGTTTCCCTATACTGTAAACAATATAGTCTGTTTCATTCTATTTTATTCTATTTCATTGATTCAAAAAATGCTGACCACAGCCCACCAAAAGATTGCAACCTACAATTTGAAAGACGCTGATTTAAAGTACAGAGAATTAAGAGCAGAAGGGATATAAATGGCCCAAGATATAATTCTGACTGGTTCATAAACCTGAATCAAAATTTAAACGTCTGTTGTTCGATACACAATAAGGTGTTTTTTGCAGAAATGGGTGGGTGGGAAATAGAGCAAGGCCTATGAAGCTGCACAATACTTGAAGAATATGGCAAAATGAGAGAGTGCTGGTCCATTTCTTTGGAAAATAGAGGAAAATCATCTCAGGGTTTCTCCTTTAAACATAGGAAGACCAGACTGTAAAATGTCCTGAAAGATCCCTCAAAAACAAAAGGAATAGTTACTGTAATAATTACTACTATCAACCACCTGGAGTTGTGCCATGGAAAACGGAGCTTAGGATGGGGTAGAACCCGTCCTCACCAGTCCACTGGCTCCAAAGCCTAATTTTCTTATGAGTGTTGGGGCCATGCAAAAGATTTGTGCTCCCTCCACACAAACGAGTCTGTTTTCCACACAAGAGTGGGGAGCTCTGGGGAGCAGGCAGTCCCAGATGATGTGAAATAAGGTTGGGGTCCTACAATCCTGCTGATGGGATGGGTGGGGTACATGAAAAAATGGACAGAGGGTCAACTTGTCTCTTCTTTTACCAAGAAGACCATGAGATCTATATCACCGGGACCGAGAGTTGTTGTTATTGTTCCATGATCCTCTGTAATGTATATTCCCTATCCTGCCAATACCCTGGATACCTTGCAGGTAGGGAGGTTCAGAAGGATCCTTCTTCAGCTAAGAAGGCAAGTACAGTTAGGTGGGATCCTGGAGGCTTGCAGGAGCACATCGTGGTGGCTGGTCAGGGTGGTAGAGGATTTGGTGAACCAGGGCGCGGGCTGCTGGGAGGTCATCAGGATCTGAGGGCATAAAAGGGGTTGGTAAGAGGCTATGAATCTCTTGGGTCCCTGGGCTTTTCCAGCTCCGCAGCTTCCTGGGACTCACCCACGCCCAGCTCCTGCAGCAGGCTATGGTATTCTGGCTCAGCATCCAGCAGTTTCAGCAGATTGGTAGACTCCATCCTCTCAAGCTGTACCTCCCAGTACACATAGATCTTCTGGTTGAACGTGACATACACAAGGCAGGGGCTGTTGCGGCCCTCTTTGCAGGCATACAGGCCTGGGAGGTGTGGGTGGAGAGACAAAGGTCAATAAGTTTCAGTTCTAGGGTTGGGAGGGCAGAGAATAAGCATTAGAGTCAGCAGTTTTGACCCTCCCACAGATGTCAAGCAGAAAACTAAAGGCCCTCTTTCTATGTCTTTTTCGTTGGGAGCTCAGTAAAATTGGTAAAACAATAAAATATCCAGCCCATTCCAGATACAGAAAAACCATACTAACAAAACCCAAGCAGAACAGCATCCAAAAAAGTGCTATTTGATTTTCTCATCTTAGTGACAGCCCTGGAGTAATGGGGCAGTCTTCCTAGTCTAAGGGGTAGATTAGCAACATGTGCTAAATGAAGGCTTCTCTGAGGTGGCAATCCCTCAGAGGCATACTAACCTCTCAGGTCACTGTTAAATTGTTCTCATTTCAGTAACCACAGATTTCTCCATGTTAGCCCAAAGAGCTAGTGCTAGCTTCCAAGGTCCCGATTTGGAACTAATGAGAATGCTCTGAGAGAATGTTTCTTCACAGAGTTCTGACATACTCAGGAAAGAATTTTCCGACGTCATCATATATCCCAAACAGGTGAAGACAAGCACTCAGCCCATTCTTTAAAATATTCAGAGATGGAGATCTCACTATGTTTTATTTTTCCTTATTTAAAGCTGTGAAGATGGCAATTTAGTACCCTCCCATCACTCTCTAACGAAAGAGCTAAGGGACTCATTTGTTTAATGAAGAATCACATTAGGGGACATGTTGAGGGTGGAAATCAGAGGCAGACAAGTGTGGTTGGGGGTGGGGTATAGGGCAGGGGCCCACCTGCACAGAAGGCTCGGACATTCTCGTCCACTTGGAAGCGGACGACCGTGCGGTTGTGATCAATGATATATGTCTGTCCGTCCCAGGCACAGGCAACCACCTCCTCATGCCCGTTGCCCTGAAAGAGGCCAAAGATAAGACTGCAGGGGTGGCCCGGAGCCATTTTAGAAAGAGATCTACTGATGAGACTGGATGAAATAAATATAAAGGAGCCATGCACTTGGCTCTGGGTGACAAACAGCCAACTGGGAAAGAAAAGAACTATACGTTTCTTATTGAATCTCCAATGTGCCAGGCACCAAAGGGGCTGTCAAAGGAGCCACCTCACATAATGCTCACAACAACCCTGTGACGTAGGCAACATTACTCCCAGTTTGATACTGAGGAAACTTCAGCTTATAGAAATAAAGTCACACACCCAAGGTCACTCTTCTGGGAGGTGGTGGAATCAGGCCTCCAACCCAGGCCTGTTCTACCTGACCTCTTGTGCCTCTTCTACACCATTGAACATGCATGACAGCAGCACAAAGGGCAGCCCCCATCTGCTGATTCAGGGGCCATGGCCTTAGTAAAGACAGACTCAAACAGGAGAAGAAAAAAAGTATAAAACATATGTCTGTAGTTAGGGCTGATAACTTAATTTCTAGACCCTAATAATTATTCATTTCTCTTTGGAGCTATTACTGCTGCTGAAAGATGTGCAAGATTCCCCAGAGTATAGCGAATAGTGTCAAGCACTGTGGAATAAGGAGAACACTCACTTCGGAAGAAGTTAGACCTGTCTAAAGAGAGATTTAAGATAAAGGTTGAGTTAACTGTAACTGTGAAGTGAAAATGGCCTCACTGATTTCTCATCTCACCATGTAAAGAAGGTAAGAATGTTCCTCTCGACCAGGTTTTCCACTCACCGTGACATCCAGTTTCTCTAGGGCAAAAAGCTGGTGATCCACCTGCACCGACCACAACAGCTTGTCTGCTTCCTCCATAAGCTTCAGTGTCCCTTCAGGGGGAGAAGCAAGCTGGGGTGGGTGGGACAGGACCCCTGAGAAGACCCTCCAGGCACACAATCTCCCACCCTAAGCACTGGCTCAGAGCTGACCCAGGGAACTTACCATCCAAGGTACAGAGGGCAAAGAGGCCAGAGCCACCATTCTCAGGGGTGTGGCCTACAGGTAGGACAGAAGGACCAGAAGAAAACATGAAGGTCAAGGCAAGATCAGATCATGGGGTGAGAGGTAGTCAAGGACAGGGAGGGAGGGAGGACTAGAAATGAAGGAAGACATCTTCTCTCTCAGAATTGACGCTTGTGCTCAGCTCCCTGCCTCACCCCACCCCACCTTCACCTCGTTTGATGTTGCCAATGAGGTGGGTGGAGACGTTCTTGTTGTGGATACGGCCAGAAGTCTGGTGCAGCATGACATCTCGGACAGCCGGGGTCTCCCTATGGGTAGAAGAATGGGGACTAAGTGGGAGACCAAGTGAACTTAGTTCTCCAGTACCTTTGTAGCCCCAACTCTGTAAGAGCTTCCCAGATGTGAATCAGCTGGGAAACCTATCACTGACCCTGTCTGGCCCATGTGGTGAGAAGGAAAGAGAGAGAAGCTGCTGCCCAGTTAGAATCTTGAAAACTCCTCCAGTTGCTACAAAGTTAAAGCCAGGATTCCCTGGGTCCCAAAATATACTGACTGGCAGGCAGAGGTACTTATGCTGGACCTAGCTGAAGCAGCTCTGCCAACTGCAAACCCATCCACTGCTCTGTACATCGAGACACACCTTGTTTCCATGCATCCCACACCATCCACAATCCTGTACCCCTTACCTATTGCCCTCCATGGCCCCCTCAGAGGTAGCAGGGGGCCCAGTGTCCTTGTTCCAGGTACACAGTAGAATTGCATAAGCGCAGCCTGGCTGCGACACCATCAGTTCAGGAACACCCAGGGGCCCTGGAGTCACCGAGAGACTGTCCACCTGCACCAGGGAACAGGGACTTAAAGGGGGCTGGAGCAAGAAGGAAGTGGGACCCTGCAGGGAACAGGGGAGAGATGTGGGGCAGGGGCCCTGGGAGCAGATCCCAGGCTTTGAGGCTAACAGCAGGAAGAATCCTAGAGTTCATAGGGCTCGAGCCTGGTGCCATCCTCTCCACAAACATCATCTGCTTTCCACGGTGCATATCTCAAATGGGGTCCAGATCCTAATACAGACCACACCCACCTTCACATTCTTAATTCTTAGCACAGGGTTTCTTCCTATTTGCCTATTATTAGCAATTTTCCCCTAAAACTCTGATTTGAAATGATCTTCTTTAGATCTGTTTCAGCAAGGTGATTTTTCCTTTTTCCTGTCCCGTACCATGGCCCATGACTGTTCTCCCACAACCCCCCTTCAGGAAGCCTTCCTCCCAGCTCTCTGGGATCCATGTTCTCCACAGCCTCTCACCTGACCCTCCAGCATCCATTTCTTAAGTGACACCAGCTGCCCTGTCAGATGTTCAGTGCCCTCGCCCAGATCTTCCCAGCGGAAAGCCCGTACAACACGGTCTGTGTAACCCACCACCAGCTCACAGCACCCATCTCCATCTGTGGATCCAGAAAATAAGATGAGTTTGGAGCCAAATCTGCATGCATCAGCTTGAATCCTACAGGCATCCCCTCCCTACTCCTCTGGTAACATCACCCCATTGGCACTTTTATCCAGTATGACTTCAGGCCCAATCTGTTGTGGAGCCACTCCATACTGAGTCTGGTACCAGCTCCCCTGCCCTTCTTGTGATCACAACACTTACCTGTTCCAGGGCCCTACCCGCCCATCTGCTCTGTAGATCCTGTCACTGCTTCCCTCATACTTATTCTCTCAGATACACAACTTGAGTGTCCTGATTCATCCCATATATCTACCACCACTTTCAAGACAGCTAGTGGCCAAAATATCAACCCTGTATCTGTATGGCTTGCTCCCTTTTCACTTCCAATTTTTGATTAAAAATCATCTCAGCAACTCCATTTAGAATTACTACCTCTACCTCAATACTCTAGGCCTTTTCCGTGGTTTATTTTCTCTATAGTACTTACTACATTCTAATATACTATTCAATGTTATTACAGCATTTATATTATTTTCTGTCTATTTCTAGCAAAGTTCCAAGAGGTCAGCAATTTTTGTCTGTTTTATTTACTATTATAATCCCAGTGCCTACAATGATGCCTGGTTTATAATGGGAATTCAGTAACACAAATGAATACTGACACTCCCCCTTCCTTCCCAGAATCCCTTGAGATCTGCTCTATTACCCACTGACTCCTATTCCCCCAGCTGCCTGCAAAGACAGCCATGCCCACCGATGTCGCTGATCAGCATGACCTTGGTATTGGCAGGGATGTGCTGCTTGAAGACTGGACGTTGCTCCTCTCCCATTAGGGTCTCATGGTGCCCAGAAACATCCAGGGCTTTGGCAGGTGTCAAGTCACACAAGTGAAACCAGCCCTCAGCACTCACAGCCACCACCAGGTTCTGGGAGAGACAAAGGTATAGGAGAGATGGACTGGGAGGGAAGTTTGGACATAACTGATCATCAGAACACAGAAGTCAAGGTTGAAGCCTTTAACTCTCTATTGACTTCCACTTTGAGACAGGGATCAATCGAGGTAAGGCCTTGGAGTCAAAGTGAAGTTTCAAGATCCCCGAGAGTCCTTACCTTTCCTTTATTACATACATCTCCAACTCCAACACAAGTCAGCTGCAAAAGAAGAAAGAGAGGCTCAGCGAGACACAGAGGGAGACCAGTACTTCCTAATTTCTGTAAAGCACAAAGGAGCGGGTTTTCTAATTATCATCATTCGCTGAAAACCTGTGCCTAATGACTAACACTGATAGTTTACGTTAATTGAGTTATTGTGTTATAGGCTTGGTTTGCCCCAACAGCAATATGAAGACCTGAAGTAGTTAAGAGAATTTGGGCTCAAAACAAAACAAAACAAAACCAAACCTCTACAAAACAAAAACTCTAATATAGCCAGACTCTTATGTTTCTACAGTTATTCGAATACTGCCCCCATTTTTTAGTATACTTTATAAGATCAGACAACCTAGGCAGTTTCCCTAAAGTACTAAGGGAGTCATTCCATAACGTAAAATAAAAAACAACCCTGCTGTGTATGTGTGTATGTGTTTGCACGCGCGTGTGTGCGTGTGTGTATGTGTGTGTTTGTGTAAACAGTGGGGAGAGCATTGACTGGCAACATCCCTCTCTGAATCAAATGAACCCTGAACCAGTGTCTAAGCCGAGTAGCTGGTGAGTTAGGACACACTGGTGAGCTTCTGTGTGAGACTCGGTGTTGACACTCCTGGACAGAAGAAGTGCCTTCCTCCCATGAAACCCAGGGAATTGAATACTGACCATTCCCTGGCAGGAACAGGTGAGCCATGGCCGGCTATCATCATTCTTATACACGGACAGCTTTCCACTGGTGTCTCCCACCACTAGTTCATTTAACTTCAAATGGAGAGAGAAGAGTG